GGACTGGAGGAGCAGCGCAGCCTGGTGCAGGAGCTAGCTCTTCTGGAGGGCTTACAGGCAACACAAATGAGACTCCAGGAGATCCATTACCTACTAGCTCTACAAAGCTAGTGGGTCAAGCATTTGAACAGAATACAAATCTGATATGGTCTTGGTTAATGGATGATGAAGTCTCGACAATTGGCATTTACGGAATGGGAGGAGTCGGTAAAACGACAATGATGAAACATATCCATAATAAGCTTCTAGAAAGACCAGGCATTTCTCATTGCGTGTACTGGGTGACTGTGTCTCAGGATTTCAGTATTGGAAGATTGCAAAATCATATTGCTAAATGTCTTGGCTTGGATCTTTCAAATGAACATGATGATCTGTGTAGAGCTGTTAAATTGTTAAAACAACTAAGAAAGAAACAAAAATGGATTCTCATTTTAGATGATTTGTGGAACACTTTTGAGTTACACGAAGTGGGAATTCCTGAGCCAGTCGATCTAAAATGTTGCAAGCTGATTATGACAAGTCGATCTAAAAGGGTTTGTCAATGGGTGGATAGACGACGCGAAATCGAAGTGAAGCCACTTTTGAAGAGTGAAGCTTGGAATTTGTTCAGGGAGAAACTTGGACATGACATAACACTTTCTCCGGAAGTGGAACGAATTGCAATGGATATTGCAAGGGAATGTGCTGGTTTGCCATTGGGTATTATTACAATGGCAGGAAGCTTGAGGAGAGTGGATGACCTACATGAGTGGAGGAATACATTGAAGAAATTGAAAGAATCAAAATGTAGGGACATGAAAGATAAGGTATACTGTGCATTATTTCCTGAAGATCATGAGATTGTAAGGAAGGAGTTGATAGATTATTTGATCGATGAGGGGGTAATTGAAAGAATGGAGAGCAGGCAAGAAGCGGTTGACGAGGGCCACAGATATTGATCAAGCTGTCCTTCAATGGAGTGTTCTTGTTAAAGGAAAATTCCAGCGTCAATCGATCATCATGGTGTCCGATGGAATTTTATGGAGAATTTGTCCTACTAGAAATAAATTGATATTTGATGATGAGATGCCGGATTGAAATATAGTTTTTCATTTGATTCTTCATCATCTAGCTAGCTTTATAGTAGAAGACTGGGGATGATAATTTTAAGTACTCAAGAACGAATTTATGTAGACAAATTATAAACACTTTGATCTTATTAGTCCTAAAATCAGATTCAAATAAGAGCTTTCATAATCCAAAAACAAGGCTTATCAGTTTACTTCAATCAAACAAACTTGATGTCAAAAAGGATTAAGGAACATGCAAAAATGGGAAATATAGAATCTGATATCTGGAAATGGTACAATTGTCCAAATAATCTCTAATACTCATTAAAGAACAAGAAAACACCAGCAAAATTGTTTGGATGTGAACAAGAAACGGAGAATACATGGTAGACTTATATAGATGTTGACGAAAAGCGTTGTACCACATCTCTTCTTTGATCTCTTGGTATTGGTTCAACAATTAGTCATTCAGCTAATATAATCAAAATCACCCTATATTTGGTTGTCTTATTTATACTCATGTTAAGAAAAATCAACTAAAATCGAGAGCATGAAAATACATATTCTTATGCTATGCATCTAGGTTAAGGGATATCATTTATTGACCAGTCTTCTATGTTTTCCAAAGTAAAAAACATTGACTAGTGTAAAATGCTAAGATACTAGCAAGCTCGTTGACTAGTGTGAATGTTGAGATACTAGCAAGCAAATGGAGGTCGAGGCTAAAGTTTCACAAACAGTGCAAGATGTTTCAGCTGAGCCTGTCAAAAAATACACTTGAAAAATAACATTACTACAGTATTGGAATAAAAAAAATAAAGAACACAAATAAAAGCAGCAGTTAAAGTATAATTATGCTAATTTAATTAAATTTGCCTTGAATTGATTATCAAAAGCTTTGACAAAATCCACTAAAAGGAGTCCTTAAAACAAAAAATGTACTGCCATTTTTTTTTTCTAGTTCAAAGAAAATACCATTAAATTTTGAAATCACCACACAGATATAATAATAAAATGACACATTTAGAATTAAGTTTCTCATCAGTAAAGTTTGTCTTGATTTCATTTTCTTCTTCTTCTTCTTTAGCCCTGTAAATACAAATAAACATTGAATTAAAAATTAATTTTGAAATATTTTTTTTAAAAAAGTAGTTGAGTAGTTGAAAATAATAACAAAATAAACGAAACTATAATATGAGTTGAGTTTATTCATTAAGCAACATAAATAAATAAGTTTTACTTGATCAATATAGAATCCTGCCTACAAATTCTACAACTTGGTCATTGATTTTAATATAACCAAAGAGCACTATGACGAAATAAAATTAGTGGTTAAACTATAGAGGAAAAAAAAAGAGAAGGATAGAAAATAAGATTTACCGTGACTAGAGAGCACTCATCCAGTATTTGGATGGCCATGTCCCTATGCAAGTCATGCATCTTGACAGTATTACCACCATCAATTATTTCCAATAAATTGATATTTTCTAGTCTATCAAGAATTGAGTGGCCCTTGTCAAGTGTTGCTTGCCTGTTTATCTCTATAATTATCTCCTCCTCGATAAACGACTCTATCAACACCTACCTTTCAATCTTATGGCGTTCATCAAATAATGCACAATATACGAAACATTGTTGTGCTGAATTATCTAAACAATCATAACTCAATCTTAATATCTGGAACATCTGATCTTCCATGTCCCAAAAATTTGATTCTTTCAATCTCTTCAATGTAATCCTCCACTCATGTAGGTCATCCACTCCCTTCAAACTTTCTGCTAATGTAACAATTCCCAAGGGCAAACCAGCACATTCCCTTGCAACATCTGCAGCAATTCGTTCTATTTCTGGAGAAAGTGGCTTGTCATGTCCAGGTTTTTCCATGAACAAAGTCCAGGATTCTTCATCAGAAAGAATATCCACTCTTATATTGTTTTGGCTATTCATCTGCCGACAAATCATTTCTGATCGAGTTGTCATAATGAGTTTGGATTCTTTCAATGGGATAGGAATCCCCACTTTTTGTGGCTCAAAAAAGTTCCACAAATCATCTAAAATGAGAATCCATTTTTGTTTCTTCGCTAGTTCTTTTGCTAACTTGACAACTCTAGACATATCATCGTCTTTACTTGAAAGATCTAAATTAAGATATTTAGCAATAAGATCTTGCAATTCTTCAATCTTGAAACCTTGAGGCACATTCACCCAGTAAACACTATGAGAAATATCTCGTTTTTCTAGAAGTTCATTACAGATATGCTGCAGCATTGTTGTTTTACCAACTCCTCCCATTCCGTAAATACCAATGATTGAGACTTCATCATCCATTAACCAAGACCGTATCACCTTCATGTCCTGTTCAAATGCTCGACCCACTAGCTTTGTAGAGCTGGCACTTGTGCCGGGCTGCACTAATCTTCCACTACTGTTCTCCATTAATCTAGCTCGTTCTGTGGGAAGTAAAATAGGTTTAGGATCAGTTTAGCTTGAACTCCATAAAGCATGGATTATATAAACCAAGAAAGACCAAATTGATTGAAACTATTAATGATCCTAATTCCAAAGATTCAAACAATAGTTCCATGTGAAAAACAAGATGGTAAGATAAAAAAAAATAAAAATAAAAATAAAAAACAAGAAAAGAAAGTAGAATATACCTTCCAAGCAAGCAAGAACGATGTTGAACTCCAGATGAGATGATTCGATTCAATCAGAAAACGAAGCACAGATCATGAGAAAGGTTTAAGAAATTTGGTGAGGGAAATTGGGAAGAACTTCTGCTTGTTGAAGTTGGTTGCTAAGGGATTCTTAATTTTGGATACGCTTTGACGTTTTGATCAAGAGAAAGGGGAGGAGAGATAGGAATTAATAATGAGACTACGATATTTATATAGGAAGTTTTTTATTTAAGGGTAGTTAAAGCAGCTAATTTAGGAAGTTATTTATTTAAGGGAACTAATTAAAGCAGGAAGTTATTGTTTTGCTAACCATGACTTCCTAAATTGATTTTCGCTGGAGTTTCCTGTTATTTCTGGCCAAGTGATTTTCCTTGGAGTTTCGATCTTCATTAATTGTTCTGGCTTTTTAATTAAAAAAGCCAGGACGTAGTTAACTGCGGTAAGAACGGAGGAAGACGGTGATCAAAGAATACCTTGCTCTGATACCAAGATAAAATTCTGTTCTGTGTTTTCTATATTATTCAGCACTTCTCAATGGTGGCTACATGATAAGTCTGACAAGCATGGTAATCCCGAAACTTAAGGATGGCTCCTATTATTAAGGACTATAACAAATAATATACTATTCCATTCTGCACACGTAACAACCAGGAAAGAGATACAAAGGAAATAGACGTCTAACAGATCCTTAGTTTTCATTTCTTTTGCAGGTATTTCTTTCTTGTGATATGTTCTTGATGTACGAGAAACATGCTGCTACCTTTGTTTGGAGTGCAAGACGTTGTAATGATTCTGCTAGGATGTGTTTAACAAACTCTACTTTCACTCTGCATGGTCAGACTTCTTGCCTAAGTGCTGTCCAGACTTTGAAGCACCTGCTGTTCAACTTGATTGTTTCGAGCAGGGATGGACTCGTATATTCTGTCTTTTTATTTTTTTTGTCAGTTCTGTGTCACTCTGGCTGAGTGTTGATTGTAACCTCCTTCATGATCTTAATTATCACTGTGTTAATCATCATTTTGTTCATTTATCCTCTAAAAAAGACAGTTACCTCTCTCTGATGAAGCAACTTGTTGGGTTGAACTCAGCTCTGTAACTCCCAATTGATTTAGTATATCAAGCCTGTGGGAAATGAGATGTAATCTGCGAGTAAAAGAGAGAAGCATGATTTCTGAATGTTGAATTCTACTAGAGATTTTGTCCAGGATTATGCCTTACACAATCCAGATAACTGATGGATGAAATCGGCTGAATGGCCAAACAGATCCACCAGCAAAACTCATGAAGTCATCGGTGAAGGATAAACGAGGCAATGAGATATTTTTGCATCTAGAATGAAAAGGGACGTCGGTGCAATGGGATATTTTTGCATCTAGAATGAAAAGGGAGTAACCCTTTGAATATCAGCGTTGTTAATCATACAAGAAAGGACCTCCATAGCGATCACAAATAAGCATGGAGACAATGGATCTCCTTATGGCATGTTATATTTTTGTATGATTTCGCTGTTAATCATACGATGTTAATTTGGCGTGTATATGGATAAAAAAGTGAAGAGGAAGACAAAAATATAGTATTGCTTGGAGGGTAGATTTCAAACCTCACTGATTAACCCTCCACGGCTCCACCAATTAAAAATCCAAGCGAACATGTTCGAATGGCTCTTGTACCAAACATTACCTTTCAAGATTGCGTGAACATTTGGAGGATTTAGACTTTAGACACCATGAAGAGAAAAGTAAAGTGAGGATTTAGACACCATGAAGAGAAAAGTAAAGTGCAGTCATAGAGAGAGAGGAAGGGAGGGGGGGGGGGGGCCATGATTTTTAGAGAGAGATAGTTAAGGGAAAACGCGGGAGAGTTCGTTACAAGTTCAACTGATATAACTGAAATTTATAGACAAAAATGTTTAGCACTGTGTGGTGTATTTTGTTACAAGAGGGGCCAGTACCGAAAGTCCAAAAAGTAATGCCTGTTTTTTGTGTTTTAAAGATATTTTTAAAAAGTTTTAAATTTTTTTTATTTCTTTCTTTGTTTAAATTAATATTTTTTTAGTATTTTTAGATCATTTTGATGCGCTAATATCAAAAATGATTTTTAAAAATAAAAAAAATATTATTTTGATATATTTTTTTAATAAAAAATACTTTGAAAAACAACCGTAACTCCACTCCCAAATAAGCTTGTGTAGCCTTGAAAATACTTTGTGAATGTGTATTGTCTTGTGCAAAACATTTTAAATGTTTAGTTTAAAAAATATTTTATATGTAATGTCGCACCCTCGCAAGCGAAGCGCGGCATTGCGGCGACTATGGATTAATTTCGGGGTCTTTTAGTTTTATGTTTGTGTAAAAGGAGTCGTCACCTAGTATTATGGTCACTAGGAAATCTAACTAGTCTTTCAGAGATTCTAAAGCAAAGAACTGGTTGTGTAAAGGAAAGATGTTAGCACCCCTAGTACGCCCTACCTAAGATAAGCTGCTTGGTGTTTGGTTGGTCTTATAATTGTTATGGTATTAATGTTTTCTAATCCCATCAGTTTTTCTTGATTTGATTCTAACTAAATTTATTAAGAAAGAAATCCAAGGAGATTCAATGTGCTTTACAAGCTCATTTTTCCTTTGGTATTTCCAGAGTTAGCGACTCGTAAATCACAGGGAGGAGGGATAAAAATTAGAAATCTAGAGTGCTTTAAAAATCAATTTTTTTTTTGTCTTAGTGTTTTATACTCTCACGGCTCGTAAACCATGGAGTAAAAAATATTGAAATGTCCTTGATTATAATCAAGGTTTCTTTCAAGGATGTGTGCGGATTTATTATTTTTAGAGAATTATTTTGGATATTTTTCACTCTGGGTTTCTTTATCCAAATATTAACAATGAATAATAACAAATTATTCTCAATAATATTTTGGATATTTGTCCTTTAAGGATTTCTTTATCCAAATATTAGCGGTGAATAATAAATGAATCCCCTTCAAAATAAAATTTTTATGTTTTTTGAAATATTGGTCAATACCCATTGGAGTTTTACAAAACTTTTTTTTTTTTGTTAATTTTCTAGCAAACATGAGATACACTCCCACACTTGGTTCAAAACAGGTATATATCATTTTTAGTACGTGAGGTCCAAAATTAAGTAACAACATGTTTTTTAATGGTGGTGATGTGGAGGAAATGGTGATAAAATAGATGGTGGTGATGTGGAGGAAATGGTGATAAAATAGTTGCAGTGATAGTGAAAGAAAAGATGCAGAGGAAGAGGTGGTGGTGAGAAGGAAATTGTGCTAGCAAGACAACAATACAAAAGGAGATGACGGTTGAAATGATTTAAAAATATTATAAGTATATTATTGCTCATAAAATATTTTGTTGATTAATTTTCCTATTATAAAATATTCTACGAAACAGGAAAATATTTTCAGAAAACAAACATGGAAAAATGTTTATGCTCTTATATGATTGCAATTGTTCTTTTGTATTTTTCTAATTGCCAATTGATTTGTGATTTTAAAACTGTTTTCACTACAAATAATAATGCATTTTCTGCATGCAAATGGTACAGAAGCTAAGCAACAGATTATCCATTCAAACTTTATACAAGTTCAGCACATGAAAGTTACATTACTCAGCAAAACTACACCTATCAAGCGTCAAAATTAGTTGCCTAAGTCTATACAGCATCTTCACAGACTGGGAGAGTGAGCCAACACCAATCACCATTGATCCCATTTGTTTATGAAGTCATTCCACATTGCCCCCATAATCGATTCTCGTAATGAGAAAGCCATGTGATCCTGAATGGAGGAAGCCAGCTGTATACCAGACTCGTCATCAATATCTGGCAATTCTGCCACAGCCGCTCCATCAACATTAGCAAACAACCAATCATCTTTCCCTTCGCGCCTGATGTAATTATGTAACACGCATGCAGCAATAACTATGTCCCTTTGGACATGAAATCCATATTGAGGGGCAACGTTAAGAATAGGAAATCGCGTTTTCAGCACATCGAAAGACACCTGAATGGTGTTTCTAAGGGAAGAATGTCGGTGATTAAATAGTTCCTGCGGATTTCTGGGCAGCTGATTGGCACCTCTAAATTCATGAAGGTGATAGCGAACTCCTGGGTACGGAGCAATAAATCCTTCCAGATTTGAGTATCCTGTGTCAACTATGTAGTATTTTCCTGTCAAATAACGGAGTGGGTAAGCAACCCAAGAAAAAAGCTAGAGAAAACAGAAGCTCCAAGTTTGAAAGAGAGGGCTTGTGTGTGCGCGAATGCAATTATAGATGAACATGGTTTGTGCGTGCAAATTAGACATGGAATACAGAGAGACCTCAATTCTGGGTAAAGCTACAAACTACCGCAAGTTTGTGTTATGTGAGCATGTGAGAGAGGGAGTGTGTGAGAGAGAGAGAGGGAGGGAACCTTCAGGTATGATAGGGAAATTCTGATCTGGATCATCAAGGACTGCTCTTAATACACGAGAATCTGCAGCAGAGCCTTCCCAACCCGGATAAATAAATATGAACTGCAAGTCAAATGTACAAGCAGCCAAAACATTTTGTGACAAAACACCTTTCTTATTACGAAATCGTGATTGGTCCTTGGCTGAAAGATGTGCAGGAACATGCATAGCATCTATGACACCGATACAATCCTGAACAAAAAGAAATCAAGTAAGTGGCATAAAATAATGCATCACAAAAGATATAGAATAGTTTTGCAGAGATATACCTTGAAATATGGATAGAATTGTTGGGAAAACTCGGAACAACCGGACACCAATTTATCCGGATCAATTCAGCGGAATACAATTACAATTACAATTCACAAGTCCCAATTCTTTCCCTCTTTGTGCAGTAAAACAGAATCAAACAATGATGAAAAATAATGCAAAAAATCACAAAATCAACACCAAGATTTTTAATGTGGAAAACCCGATGTGGGAAAAATCACGGCACCGTAGTCCACCTAAAAACTTCCACTATCAACAAATAATGGGTTCACAATCATTCTTCCTCAGATTCAACTAAGGGATACAACATATATATCATCAAGAACAACTTATTCTCGGATTACAACAAGATTAAAGGAGAATTATTTGAGAAAAACTCACAATACTGA